TATTCACAATTTAGTTGTGTTTACACTTGATGATATATGCATTTGTTGGAGATGTATTTTGCAAAAATGTGTATTTTAATCAAAAATAAAAGCATAATATTAAACTGCAGTTTAGAAAGTTATATCATTTAATAGATTTATCATTGAAATGGGATTGGATAGTAGTATGTAAGTCTTCATTGTGATGATCAAATTGCATTTAATCTTGATGCAAATCAAAATGATGTCTAACATAGTCAAACACATCATTTATTTTGAGATGCAATTTTTGATGACAAGCTTAAACTAATCATTATTGAAGTTAAATTCATTCTAGTTAATGCGGTGACCAAATTATCACTTTGAAAAGTTCTAAGATATATTGTGATACTTTGCAAGTTTCACATAAAGAGCCTAAATAGATTTTACTAGGAATTTTGCTACCTTTATATGATTTGTAATTCAATCTTGTTTTGGTTTTGAAATAGTTTTAATTAGCTCCAGTTTAAAGATTTATCTATATTCGAATATTTTTCTAGAATCTCTTGAAGATTAATTATAAAATTTATAAATGATACAATCTCCACAACATGAGCTAAGGAAAAGATTGTTTGAAGTTAACTTAGATCTTTTATTAATACATTTTAGCTTGATACTAATTAATGAAGGAGATTGAACTATCATTGTATAAGAAATCTCACAAACGTTTTCTCTGACATGACTTAAAATTTTTTAATAATGTTGATATGTTTCATAGAAAAAGTTTGCAATGATGAAGCACAAATTTTCTGGTGTGGGATGTGATTGTGTGTGCATTCGCATGTTGGCAATATGTGAATGCAATTTAAATCTTCCTTGTGATGAATGACGTGATTCTTTTGAAAATTATGTCTTGTTATACTTACAATTTTCATACCATATAGTTAATCCTACATATTACAAAGAAATATCACTTGATGTAATTTTTCTATCATTGATTGCATCAACTTCTATATTTTATAAAACGCCTTGATTGTATGTTGTAGAAGATGATAGAATAGTAAAAAATTATTCATCTTTTTGTCTTTCAATATTTTTTAAATGTCAAAGTTGATGTTCAGCATTTTTTTAACTCCAAATTTTGAATAACGAAGGACTTACCTCAATATGTATGTTATATTTCAAAAGATCGATTATACTTGTGAGCATTGACTCAATAATACTTCTATAAGTACAAAAAAAAATATCACAATGTCTATAACATAAATTGATACCTTCCTAGAATCCTAATTAGATTAATTAAACCTTAAATTAATCAAATGCAGAACCCATTAACACTATCTTCATGTAACTTTAGTTACATGACAAACCAGGTAAAGAATAATAACTGAAATTATCGTAGGATTATACCCTCTATTGTCTAAATTTATAATGAGTTATATGGATTATAGATAATGAACAAGTAAGCTAGAAAATATAGATTGTGTTGAACATCAATGTAGAGAACAATCTCTGATCCAATTCATGAGCAGACTGAAAAAAGGCTTGATATCATGTCATATCTCTTTGGAATATATTATCTTGTGTCTCTTTTACTTTTTATGTAAATCAAATGTCTATTTTTCTCACGACGCCACTCCTTAACATTTCGCTGATGTTACTATTTGCAATCATAACAAAGATGACAAGAATGCTCAACAAGCCGTAAATACAAGTGTCATATTAAAAGTATCACTCCATCCAAAGATGCATATCTTTGTGCGAAGTTTTACATCACGCAATTACCTAAAATCATGATCATACCAAAAACATCCATGATACTTTTATGTATGAACCCAAAATAAATAGACTTCCTGGTTACATGAAGTTTATACTCGGAATGTGAATAAGTTTTCTCTCCGTGAACCAAAGCTATCATGTTGGTTTAGAACGAATTTATTCTATCTGTTGACTCATATAGTATTATATTATCGTACGCAGTAATCACTCCTTTATTGCTGTGAGCGTTATCATCTTAAAAGGTCAAATAGTTGTGATAAGAAACTATATGATAAATAATCAGCATATTATGAATTTAGTTGGGTACAGTAATAAAGAGTTATTGCAAGTGCACCTTGTCCAAACAAGGTATGCGCACTTCTCGAAGTGCGCATGTGCTACGCTGCTGGTCTCGAGAGTGTTCATAGTATTGAGTTAAAAAAAAAGTATGGGGTTATAATGTTTTCCATCTGTACTTTGCGCAAGAAGAAAGTTGGTTGCCCTAATAATAAAACCTCTACCCTAAAATTCAAAACACTCATGTTTAATGAATGTGAAGTTTCTGCAAACTCCAACTCGCCTATATTACGATACGAAAGCGCGAGGAAAATACAAGTGGAGTGCTTCACAAAATAAATGCTTTTAATCTTTTCAAATAGTGATAGTTTTAATGTTAATAGCTACCGATTTTGCCCCCAAATAGTGATTATTATGTTAACGCTGACTCACTATTTTCAAAATACAAAATGTCTTTATTACAGCCCAAAACAAGTTACAAATTATGGAAAAATACAAGAAACTTATTACTCCATGTCAATTAATTGTTCACTGTGAAGAAGTGACTTATAGATGTCATTTTCCTTGTGCTTCCCCAAGTATGCAATCAACTCACACTAATCTTCACGTCAAAAAACCTGTCCATATGCAGCAAAAGCCTCTGCAATCTCTCAAGGAGTCGACATGTCGTCATTTACATCTTCGATTGCTTGTTCGAGCCACGATAAAACGTCTTTTCAATCGACTTTGTATTTTCCACCAGGGTCAGGATCAGACAATATCTTCCAAGACACGTACCGCTTCTTGAAAGCTTGCTTTATCGGTTTGTTTGCAATCAAATTGCATATTTGAATCAAACTGGTACACCCTGCAGAAATGCTTGTCAAAGTGATGTTCAATTTTGCAGCTTTCTCCATGACTTGATCTAAAAAATGGCTTGATGTGGCGTTCCATATCAATTCAATCTTTTCATCTAGATAACACGGGTGCAACTATTCCAGATAAATGCAACATCTCTGTTTGTCCATCCAAGGCTTTGGATGAGATGTAACTTTGCTAGGCCCGTTCCAAGAAGCGAATCTTCATGACAGCGTTCCATCAGGCTTGCCAGTCAAGATAATCATAGGAGCGATGATTTGTGATTGAAAAAACTCACATGCCACCATAACTGTGCAACCTTTCTTGGCATCTTCTACTCAATTGGAACCGACTCGTTTGACATTCGTTGGAGCAATTAAATGTGTTTCCTTCAGATAGAGTTGTAGGAACATTTCATCTGCATTGACCAAACGAGTCTCATCAACAGATTTCATAATTGTGCAAATCAATGAACATGCATCAATGCAAATTTGCAACCAGTTGACAAGGACGGTCTTGCATATTGATTCCTTTTGAATAGAGAATCAATGTCTCACAAGAATTGTGGCCAACCATTGCGATAAACCTGGAGATATACTCCCCGAATGGATCTTCATCTTCTTCTTCCATTCCATCTAATCATCTTCATTCTCATGACCAAATTCATATATCATCATATCATATGCAGTCGATTTGCTCAAAGGATTGACAGTTCCCCACTTCAACACCACCATCTTGACGATGAACTTTTCTTGCTCTGGGTATTTGATCATCGTTCCAGAACCCATAGTTTTTGTTGTTTTGAAAACTTATGTGATGTATTCAGATATCTTGGCCAAATTGCGATTCTTTTGACGATTGCCAATTGATACTGCCAACTTGTACCAATGGCCTAGAGTTAAGTTCCCCAAAATTTTGAATCCACCTCCATCTTGCTTGAAACATCCACACCTTGGTAGTTTTCTCGATAGTTGACAGGCAGTGTAGGAATAATATCGAGACTTTGAAAGAATCAACATACTGCACCCACTTGCTCTAGTACATCTTCCTTGTGATCCAGTTTCGAAAGGTCATCCAGTCGATCGAGAACATAGAGCATGTCAGTTTCGAATCCATATTTCCAAGCGACTTGTGGAAGTAGAAAAAGACAGCTTTTGATTTCTATTCCCACGTCATTGTACGAAGTTGTTTGCTTTCCTTCAGCCTTCAATCCAAACGACTTCAGAAGCTACTTCATCAAAGAACGGTGCCGCTAACATGCCTCAATGACAATATCCTTGGGACAGATATCGAGCTTGCCATTGCTGACGACTTGACAGTCTCTTGGATTAAGTTGTGAAAAGAATTCACGACGAACCAATCGTAAAACCTCCTCAACATTTTCTCCTATTCTTTTGAGCATCCACCCACTTTTGATTTTTAGTATTTGACAACAAGAATCTCTTCATTTCTGGCAATTACAGGTAATAAAGACAACAACAAACTAAAGTTTTCAAACTAAGAAGAACAAACAGAAAATGTTTTCATCATATCGATTACGTGGGTACATGTCGAACAACAGGTTGAGATCGGTTGCCAATTTTTTGGGTACATGACGAATAACAGGTTGAGATCGGTTGCCAATCTTTTGGGTGATTACCATGATTGGATACTGTGTACTTTAATTATAGCCATCACAATAATCGAATAATATAAGGGTACATTAAAAGTGATCTACGATAGAGATTCTTTTTGTTAACCAAAATTCACTTTAACATTAAATAGTGCCGTGTTTTCTCCAACAGTAATTTTTTTATTAAGCATTTATTTTGTGAAGTACGGTAATTTTGTACGTCCTGTAGTTGTGGTCGCGAACATCCTGTTGGACTTTCCTGAGGACTTCTGTGCAGCGAGATGGCATTCACTCTACACAATGGAAACTTGTAGTGCTATAAAATCCACATGCTATGTTCAGCTTGTACTTTTGAGTCTAACTAAAGACTCCAGTAGACATTCGTTGCTGACAGTAGTCAGAACACATTCCTCGTTTGATTAACATATTTTGTGATGTCGAAACCATAGCCTAATTTCAAGGAAGTGAGATCACTTGACGACCACTCAACAGTGGTAATGAAATATCCACTTGAACAACTGCCACATTACAAGTTTAAGTGCGCATTTGATTATCAGAGGTTAGCCCTGAAAACATTACAACGTCTACAGAAGGTGACGGAGTTGCCAAGTCTGTCTTGACAAAACGCTGAATTCTAGTTCAGTTCGGAAGAAAACTTCCGATGATAAAGAGACTACTTTCATCGATATTTGGAAAAAATTGGACGTGTGCCGATTTGGTGTGGCACGACTGAGGATACTTTCTATTGCTTCTAGATGACATTCAAAAGTAACGCAAACTACAGGAGTTGGAGACTCCTCTCAGAAGGTGTTGATATGCGCCTCAAGTAAAATCCTCCGGGAGTGCCTAGTACCCAGACTAACCGTGATGCTTTGGGTGGAGACGAAACACGTTGTACTCCTTAACCACGACTGCATCACACTAAAACGACTTCTGGAGTGAGTCAAAAATGTGAGTTCAAAAACGTTTGTTTCGTCCATTACCAGCACCAGGTTACCCTAAACTTCTTGTGGTCTATCTGACACTCCAATTCATGCAAAATTATACGTAATTTCTAACAGAGTCATCTTCGTTACCAAGTTAAGGTGGACAACGAAGAACTCTCACAGTGAAAATCTCCATGAAGGTTACTCTTGGATTAACAAGAGTACTATCATCACCTACATCTCTTCCAAAACAAAAACAAAAGTGCACGAACCACTTTTGACACGCATGATGGAAGACAACAGATGGGAAAGGTCTTCAACAGCCTGAAGAAAACTCAGACAGTGAGACATTGTTATGTATACTGAAATTACACAGAGATTTGAATCTCCAATTAACTTTTTTGAGAATGGAACTCTAAACAGCCGTCCGCGAATTCTTGATCTTTTAGATCGCATCAAGAAGCCCCTGTGGGAAGATAGAGACAATGTAGAGGATCTCGGCTATCCCGATTGCTGCAAAAGAGAAGACAACAAAAAACACAGGAGATTGTTGTCAACGCTGCAGAAACTTCAGCTACTCAGTGGTAGACTCGTCACCACCATAGGAGCTTATTGACACAATTTGAGAAAGATACAACTTCCTGACGAGGCAACAGTTGGTGAAAGAAAGGTACGGTGGTGTTTGCAGAAGCAGTTTGTCACTTACTCTATGCACCACGTTTAGAAACGATAGGTGACAGCTTCCCTATCTCAAGTTAACTCATCAAAATGTGTATTAACCCCCGTAGTCCCCGTTTGAAAATTTGTCCTCTGGGTAGTAAACCGCAACTACAGAATTGCCGGAAAATTTCCTTCCATGGAGAGCTGTTTTAGCCTTAATCGCACCTTGTGTATCAGCATACTCAACAAAAACCTGCAGTCACGGCGAAGCCATAAACGATTAGTATTTTAGATGCCACCACTTCGACATATTCTGGTACTGTGCATTTCTGTAATTCAAAGCCCTACGTTTCAAAGACTAACATGATTGCATCGCGCACAATTCTGTTCACACAGAGATTCGCCCAAACGATACATGCATACCTTTCCGACTCCTGGAACCTCTTCTCCGTCTGTTCTTGGCCTGGGAATGACAACGCTTACAAGGTTTCCTGCAGAAGAGAAAAACTTTGATAAGCAAAGTGATGGAAATTGCTCGATCTGTTAGATATTGGACGTGGATTTCTTAGGCGGTCAGCCTTGACCGTTGGATCCTTTAAAGTTCACTGACACAATCCTATAATTCAGTTCACCCGGAGTAGAAACTCCTGCTTTCAGGAGTTAGGCACTTCAGTAAGGGTATACCATGTGACGGACTAGGGGTATCCATGATCAGTTTATCAGTATTAGTTCCAGACTGAGAACTTCAACAATTTGGAGAGTGCATCATTCTTCGTGACAAATACAAAACGAAACTAATTTCTGAAGGGCGAATTCAGCTCTAAAACATTTTGAGGGAATGCTGAGACTAGTGGAGGAATACACAAAACACTCAACATAGAGAAAGAACTTACCGAATTTTCCGCACTCGAGGTTCATATCCTCCACAATCTCCTCATACTCTTCATCGTCCATGAGTTCATTGGGAGCAGCAACCTATTACAGGACATACGTGCTCAGAACTGACTTACGTATCAGGTAACGTGTGCCATAGAAAACTATTAATGGCACGAGAGATATCTACAACCTTGGGTTGAGTGGCAAGTTAACAATCGCCCACGTACAAAATGAAAATATCACTTCGTCAGATAAGAATCAGATATCATTTGTGGATAGACCGGACACGTTACAAAAGGGAATGCTGAAGCAAGTCAAACATCACCTGTAATTAGTTGGAATAAAAAAACTGAAGGCATAAAAGTCCCAATAAAGAGAGCAATAAACGCAGTCGCCACTTTCCCGTACCTGAGTCAAGCAGACGACTCTAGTGACGGGCTCATTTGAAGAGACGAGGCCGTTCCCCAACCCTGACATCATCCCGGGAATCATTCCGGGAGAAAGGCCAGACATCAAGCTTGACAAACCTCCGAGAGCCACTGCATTAGCACCACTAGCTTGCAGAGCGAGCTTCTGCAGACCAAAAGCAGAACATCATAAATTCGCAGATACATCCAGAGTAGGCCTGTAACTTTGATGGAAACCCAAGAGAGTCAACGACCTTCTTCTTCAAGACGGAAAGGCCACCTGGTCACAGAAGACTCAGTTACCTGCAAGGCTATTTGCTGCTGCGCCTGAGCCAGAACATTTGCTTGGTCCGGTTTTGGCTGACCACTGTCCACAGAAAGAGCACATGGTTCAAAGAGTAGAATTCAAATTAAAGTAGACAATTTCACCAGCTGGCCCACTACTCTTCTCACTCCCACAAAGTTCAAAGTACAGTTTATAAACAAGCGAGCTACACAAGAGATGACCTCCACTAGTATTCTACGAAGTGTAGGGAAGGATGAAGCCAGGACAAATGACAAAGGTTTTCGGAGATAGTCTAGACATACACTTGTCAGGAACGGTAAGGATAGGGCGGACTCATTTAAAAATCTTTAAGCTTATATCATATTTAGCCCATCAAGGACGGACAAGAACATTTTATGATAAGTGGACATATGCCAACCTCGCAGTGGCACGGCGGACTGTCAAAGTCTTGTCATCCATTTTCATGCCATTAAGCGTTGCACAGGCAATGTCCACAACTGACGGGTCCTGCACAATTGGCAATTGAAAAGCCACAAGCAGACAAAAGGAGTAAGATCGAGCAAAACCCCCACCTGGCGGTCGCTCGGCGCACTGTTAAGGTCTTATCACCCATTTTCAAACCATTAAGCGCAGCACATGCAACGTCTGTTACCGATGGTTCCTGCATATACCATTAATCACGTGCCAATGGGATATCCATCCCAAGAATCAGATTAGTGATTTTAAAACTGAAAAGACCGCATTTCCAGTAGAATGCTGCATATACTCCAAACCCTGACCTACATTGGAGTTAGTCAGCTCAGTTCAAGTCATCTTACTCGGACGCATACCATACGGTCAGCCGTTGGAGCTTAGTTATGGATACTACATGGACTCTCAGATGGACCACGCCATCATCCGTGTAAACTAAGTAGCATGCATCAACCGATGTAAACGTGATGAAACGCACTAAAGCCCTTCGTGAACCTTTCAAATGCCTTCACAGCACTGTGACACATGACCGCTGTTTTCAAGGTGACACTGGCTGGACAAATATCAAATTCCTTGCAAAAACTTCGTGTTTAAAGCAGACACGTTTGACCTTCAAAAAAATGTAACTGTTTGAGGACTGTCTATTTACCTGATATACACAGAATCCGTATCCTTTTGAATTTCCCGTGTCACGATCTTTGACCAAGTCAAAACCCCGCAACGGCCTGCAAACAACAGGAAATCACAAACTACTCCAATTAAGGCTAGTAAGTAGGCCCCACAGCCTAAAGCGGCAAAATACAAATAGAATTTTGTACAAATCCAGCTAGACAGTCTTTAGAACTTGGTATCTTCGTATCAAAGTTCTACAAATGCCATGACACAGGGAAAAAACTGAAGGAACACGGATTGTTTCCTCTGAATGGTGAAGGAAAAAACTAACCCGAAGGACTCCAATAGCTCCTTAATTTGCACCTCAGTCAAGTAATAGGGAAGTCCTCCCACAAAAATTCGATCCGGTCCATCGGCACCCCCGGCTGCGCTGCTACAAAAACATAAAAAGGTGGAACATATTTGTTCAGTACGGCAAAAGGTAGCAAGGTAACATTGATTGCAATGTCTAGGGTATGTCCAAAGACAACTCTCAGTACTTCAACCTAAAGCATGGATAGACCACATACCCAGGAGTCAACCCAACAGCTGCAAGATTTAGATGGGGGCTGGGCTGGCTGGGTCCAAGAGTAGCAGCCATTGAAGGATTGTAATCACTCGGTCTTCTTACCCTTACAGAAACTCCCTGCACAAGTTAGCACATATAGAGAAACGTCAATTTTTTCACTCAGTCATATCGACTCTATCTAGTAGCCAGAGTGACCGAAAATATATATTTGAGGAAAAATAATTATTTTGCTTCATGATCTTTCGTTATTGAAGCGGTTCTCTTACCTCAAAAATGATGCCGTCAAGTGCCATTGCATTGCTGGCCTCTTCGACGGTCCGCATCTCCACAAAAGCAAACTTCTTCTCTTGATTGATGTACACGTTGACCACAGCATCACCTAGAGTGACACGAACACAATTCGAGACACGAAAAGCAGACATATTAAAAGCTTGTACTCGGCTAGAAATTGTACTACTTTAGGCAGATAAAGAAAATTGTTCATTCATTCTATATGAATTGAGTTCGAGGCATCAACGTACATCTGAATAACTAAAACCAAACATGCATGGTAACACATGCATTCACTTGAATCAGAAACCTGAAAACTCTACCTGGTCCAGCAGTGTTTCCGCCGACGGCGGCCATAACTTGACTAAAAAACGTGGCAATAGTCTGAAAGAAAACAGTTGATACGGTGTTAAAAATCTCAACTGCAACCAAGGCAAGAACCCGGTTGTTCAGACACAAAAATGCACCATGCAGTGATCTGACAGAAAGTAGCCCTGATGGTTTGAGATTCTATTGTCCACTTGCCTTGATTAACTGTAAGAGCATCTAAGATGATGAAACAAGGAAACGGGCAGAGGGAATGGCCATTCCCATGTGATGACTGACACAGGCACCAACAAACAAGTTCAAAATCATCTGCTGAGAGCATTTCTGTACCGTTGAAGGCCTGTGATACATTCTTATGACTAAGAAGATCAAGAGGAACAACAGAAGCTAATACCTGCGTATCGTTGTAGCTGCAGAAAGTGCTGGAAGAAGTCTATCGAGCAGTACAGAAACCTAGACGATATTAATAACTATGTCAAACTCACCTGCTCATTCGCCATCGGTGGAAGTCCTCCAACGTAAACTCGACGGGCATGTCTTGTGGCCTGCATGAAACCATCCTTAAAGCGTTAGACTCAACAGCCAAGTCAAACAAAATCGAAGCATGACCAGCACTGATAACCAAAGTAATAAAAGAATGTTGAGAAAGGTTCTCCGCTATATGATTTCGATCATACCTGCTGTGTCATTGCTTGCGCCGGCATTGCAGGGAGCCCTCCAAACTAAAAGCGAATCCACAGGTACACACAAGTTTCAAGTCACGAACCGAAGCGGCAAAGAATTTTAATCTTACTAGCCAAGTAAGTTTTAAAGGTCCCACAGGCTGAATGACATCCGCATATATCCACAACCCTAAGTATGTAAAATCGACTAACACGTCAATTACCTGAGTACCACCGAACGGAAACATAGTTGGGAAGACACCTGGCATAGGTTGTGACATTCCTGGTAATTGTCCTGCAATACACACAAAAGGAACGTTCACACTATAAATCTCCATCACTCACCTGATAAAAGAAGAGGCAGTCTTGCCAGCTTAATAACAGAGTTTAATTACTACAAAACAGCTTATGCGAAAGCGACTGTCTAAGGCATCTCTCACTTAGACACCTCATGTGCTCCTGATGTCACTCAGATGAGCCTCTTTTATATTTATTCATAGCAATTAATATCTACAATTAATATCATAGCAATGGTACTGAACGAAGTGGTTGCATCTAGTTCACGACACAACTAACGACAAAAAGTTGCGCACCATTGCGTTTCATGATCGCACACACCAATCTGTTGATACTTAAGGCTCCAGACTATGCATGTGGAAATTCAATGGGCAAAGCTACCAGGGCAACAAGAGTTGCTGATTGAAGGTGATCAAATTTCCAACCACTGTTGCACATACAAGCCCTTGGAGGCACGCTCGAGATGCAGAGGAGATATGGCTCGCCATGACTTCCGCACCCCAAGAAATATGAAAGACAACCACAAACAAAAACAATCCAAAACCGACAAGCAAACAAGCGAAAGGTCTCCTCAGTGCATGACTTGGAACTGTAATCACTAGAAGATCATCTGCCAATCCTAAACTGTACATACAAAAGTTATGTATTACTCTTTCCTACGAGGATACGTTCAAATATTCTTACGTGATGTTTAACAAAGCTGAGGAAACAAGCGTAAAGGTGATTCATACGGGAACTAAGATCTAGATTAAGTAGACTCGCCACCGAGTGAGAGATTTTATAACCAAAAAAAAGGGTTCTTTCAAAAATGAGTTGGAAATGTGGCCCACCTGGAATTGCCGCTCCAACAACCACCGTAGCGCCAGGCGGTGCCATGTCGAACCCACTCGTCCTTTTGCTGAGGAGATTTCGATAAAAATTTGTCACAACAAGGACTTGAATCGACAATGACTAGGTGATTAAAAACAAACAGATACAACTTTTGCAGTAACAAAGATGAAACTCGCGGTTCGTGGCTCATTCTATGTCCCATTCAATCCCCGATCTGCGTTGACGTGAAATAACCTTTCTGTCAGATATTGTCAATAGGTGTAAGATAATCATACCTCCTTCGATCTCTTGAAGGTGATCGAGATCTGGACTTCGAAAATTCCCGAGATCTACCCAAAGAACGAGAGCGGGAACGATGTCGGTGTCGCCTGTCACGGTCTCTATCACGGTCGTATTCTCGACTCCTTCTGCAGGGCAAATATTTCAAGCCACGGCATGTAAACAACATGATTGAGAAAAGTAACCAAACACGAAACGGTATTGTGGGAGAGCAACAGCTTTTACTTCTCTTCACGGCCTTCCTTTCATGTAAGTTTGCAGACAAGTATTATGCGAGAAAAACCAAAAAGACGACGTCATTCAACCTGAGCTGAATAGTTCCCACAAACAGCTGGCCCAAAAGCCATGCTGAATGAGAGAAAGAACTATTATGCGGAAAGAGGGCCAACTAAAAACTCGGAAAAAGCCATGTCCTTAAATTTCGACATCGACAACTGATGCAAGAGTCTTGACTGTCAGACACCGTACATGGGCCAAAGACCTTGCAACTCAGGACACCCGAAAATCGACTACTAAACCGTAGAACAACTTTTGTTCAAGCTCAGAACCTCACATGGTCTACGATTCATATCCTTAAATTAGACAGGGATTGGAGAGCAATAAGCTTCGAATCTCGGGCATACTCCAAGACTTTACATCAATGAAACATATGACAAGAACTCACTCAACAGGAACGCAGATTAAAAAACAAAAAATTAGGGCGACTAAAAGTCATCGACCCAGGTAATGTTGCAGCGCACGTCTTCCGAGGTTCTCAAGAGGGCATATGACACTAAGAAAAAAGGAAAGAAAAGGCTGCATTCAAGTACATAACCAGAGAGCAGCTGTGTCCTCAGAGCCTAAACAAAAGAAAGTGGTCTAATCTATGGTGGGTTTGAGAGTTTAAGAAAATCAAAGCATCGGTTTGAATCTTCTAGAGTTTGTATACAACAGCTAGAGGTGACATCCGCCATGCAATTCATTATATCCATGATAGTATATCATCCGTAAACCCTTGTACAAGGAATTTGAGAAAACGAGTGCTCTGGAAAACAGATTATGGGAGTGTAAAGCATAAGCTTGGAAATCTGAACAAGGGAAGAAAGATCAGAAGCTACTTCTAAAATTAAAACTAAGAGACAAGTAGAGACTATTTACCTCTCTCTATCATGGCCTTTGTGGTGTTCACGATCACGCTCTCCTCTTTCACCTCTTTCTGTGCCCCTTTCACCTCTTTCGGCCCTATCACCTCGGTCACCTCGATCGCCCCTATCGCCTCTGTCATCACCCCTATCCCTATGACGACGTTCCCGATCTCCCCGTTCACCATCTTTCTCCCTGCTTTTTTCCCTCTCCCTATCGGACTCACGGGAGGCTCGCTGCAAGACATTCGGTATAATCTCAGTATCTCAGATAAGTGCACTCGCTAAAAACAGTATCATATTCTCCCAAAAAGAAGGGACATCTAGAGCTTAGGACAGCAACAAGAAAGGAATATATCCAAACAACGATAAACTTTCACGAATCTCTTGCAAACGGTGGCTGTACTGTTCAAAATTCCATTAACATGATAACGGTTTTTTGAGAATGAACTAACATATATTTATCGGAACATAATGCTCACAATGTAAGCACTCAGTGAGTCAACGGCCCTGCCGTAGTCCTCGTTTTTTTAGGCCAAAAAAAGACAGGCATTTTTACAAAAGGGCAAAAGGGCTAGAGAAGCAACGCAGTCTTATTTCGAATTCAGTGAAAGAAAGATGTGTCTTCAGTGCCAGAGCAACTGTCCTGTTTTTCAACAAAATACTCAGGAGGCCCACGTTCGAGAGCCTCCTGGAAAGGGGAAAAAAAGCCACAAAGAGCAAGTGGTATGTAGATTCCCAATTTCAAGGCACAGCTATGTGACCAACAAGCTCACAATATGCAACCAAACAACCTTACACTATGCAATAGCAGGTGTGCTGGATCACAAAACCCTAGGCATAATCACTATTCGAGCTAAGCACAAACAAATTTATAAAACGGATACACAGAAGACAGAAGATATTGTGAATGAGGAACAGACCAAACCCTCACCCATCTCCAAGAGAAAAGGGTGGATAGGAGAAGTAGATAGATGCCACTGGAGACGGCGCAGGCAGACAGATCCTCAGAATATAGACCTAAAGCAATTTCTTCGTCCTCGACAGTCTTTGTGTCGCACCGTTCCGCTCGATAAACCTCTCCGTTCCCTCGACTCTCTCCGCTCTCCGTGGCCGGCCAAGGCCTTGTCCTCAACTCTCAAACTGTACAATAATGCAGAAGAAAGCGCAGGGCAGAGTGGCGCAGAGCGGCAGCTCGCCAAGCATGGCACAGCAGAGCAAGCAACCCAGCAAAAAGAAACCCAATAGGTCGACACGAGTGACACAAGCAGCAGATCCACCAGCCCTAGCACACAATCACACTCTCCCTGACAATCCCTACGAACATCGTCCACCTTCTCCTCCTTCCAACTCCTCCTGTTTGTGTCTCTTGTCTTCTCTTCGAACCCGCTCGAGCACAGACAGGGACTCAGAGCACAGCAGAGCAGAGTACCAACAGCAGCGCATCGGCAGCCACAGATCTCCTCTCGTCGCCAACATCAATTACCTTAGGCTTCCTTCTTTCCTCCCCTTCCTTTGTCTCTGGTTCATCGGATAGGTCCATCCATCCAACGAACTCTTGGTGACCTCCTAGTCTCGAACCCCTTTGGACGGACTTGCCTTATTAACCACGATTCCGGCCAGCGGACGGATGCACCTCTTCCTCAGTAGCTCACGTGCAACTATCTTATTTGACCGCCCGGGCCAAGAAAGCACGAATGGTCATATCTTCCATCGTATTTCGTGATAATTAACCTTCAGACGCTCTCAAGCTTCTTTGTCATAGATGGCTTCCATTTAATACACGAACCGCTGAATCCCTCGATAATAATACTCGAAGTTCACATCTGCCAATTTAAATCTACGAGGAAAAAAAAATTATTACATAAATTTCTAATAAAACACCTTAAACGAACCCTCTCAAAATAATTGTTTTAACCAATCAGCGATATAAACATGTACATACAATCACCAAACAAATGTTGGATTGGCGTGAAACATGTCATCACAATCATTTGTGCTATAATGTTCATAAACTGGGTATATACATGTACATCCAATTTCCAAACACATCTTGAATTGGTATGCATTATGCTATCACAATCATATTACCTATAATGTTCATAAACCGGTGATTAGGAAATAGAAGTAGAAGAAATATGTATACATTATAGTGACAAGCATTTACTTGAAACCAAAAATGTGCTGATTATTTCATAAATTTCATCTAAAATTTACATCATTACATTTTAATTTACTGAAGTTAATCAATGTACTTCTTTTTGAACAGTTAAGTTTGATTTATTACCAATCCAAACCATTTTTTGGTTAGTCAAAAAAATCAGGTAAATATTCAATGTGAGCTACTTTTCTTTTTTAGACTGTCATACATCATAATATATACTTAAATTTTATTTTTTATAAAAATAATATATTTTTTTGCATAAAAAGTATAATTACTAATCAAAATGTACAAGATCCTATAAAAGTTACATTGAACATCTTACACCTCTTATATTAAAGATCTGCAAAAAAATGAAATTCTCAACGGTATATTTTTGGACAAAAAAATTCATATAAATTAATCAAAAAAATGTAAATGTAATTTTTAAAAATTTAAAGATATCATAAAATTGGATTAGACTTTCTATCACATGTTCCAATGTTTACATATAAATAATCGTTCATTGTGAAAGGATACAACTACAAATATTGATAGTAAGCGAATCTTAGTTTTCAAAAAAAATTGTTTTAACTATGTTTTATTACTAATGATAAACAAGTATAGATAACATTCATGAGCACTAAATGTAGATGCTTCTGGATTCCATTATATTAATTATCAGATTTCTTATCTTGATCACAATAATAATACATAACATTTGATGAGAAATTCAAAATATGAATTGTGAGTACATGATGTATGCAATAATAATAATAATAATAATACATATCAGAATTAAAACTAAACAATGACAGAATTGGTAACACACAAACTTTCTTATTGTGATATCATTGCATGAACTATATTCATTATTATGTAATGTATGTAAAATTTTATAAGTATATCAAAAAATATATGTATGAAAATAAGTACAATATATTTTCTACAAAAGAATTTAAATTTAAATGACATTTTTCTTGAAGACTGATGAAAAATTATATATATATTTGAAATTGATTTGCCTAAAAAGTAATTTTCATCAAAGCAGAACAAGTAAAGTTTACTTTTCAATTTCAACTCAATCTAAAATAGACATATTGAAAAAGAGCATAGCTAATGATTCATAAATTCACAAAAATTATGCATTAATCAAGAATAAATCACAGAATTATACGGAAAAGCTTTTATTCATCCAGATCATGAGCATGAAATTTTTTTTTAACTAAAATATTTGTATCAAATTAAGATCATATGGAAATCATGATCAAATTAATAAATCAATAAATATATAAAGATTAAAATGTATATTATCAGAAATATAAATCAATTAGATACATGATTTATATTTATCATCACGTTATGAATATAGAAAAATTTGAACATTTTTCATCAAAATTTATTTTGAACCTATTAGACCATTTCAATTAGATAATATATCTCCATTTGTAATTAAATTGATAATCATAAATAGAAATGTTTGAACAAACAAGATATAAACTGACGAAAATTCCCCAAAAAATAATAAAATTTCGAGATTTTTTAATACATGTATTATGCATTAATGCATCGTAATAGTCCAAAATTGTTAATCATACTTATTTCCATAAATATTTTATTTTATTATAAAAATTGCAATGAAAAAAAGATAGTTCAATAAATGAATGTTTATAGCGAATTCAATATCACGTATTGATAAAATAAAAACCTTTATAAATAATAATTCAATTTAATACAAAAAATTTAAAATTTAAAATACACTAAAATGTTAATATAATCTTTTTAAAAATTCCATTTTTTTTCAAAAATATATGATGAATTGTTTTTTAAAATTTTATATATTTAATTTTTTGATTAGATCAGTTTATTATGAGATTTTACATTATGTTATGAAGATCCAAATTTCAGGTTTGAAATTATTTTTTTTATAAATCTTTTTTCTAAAATGATCATAATTTTTACATTTAAAACAGAACAACATCATTGAAATAGCCAGATTTAACCACCATGTGAAACTAATTTATAGAGTTAATTTCAACTTGACTACAAGAAACTATTTTTAAAAAGTGATGAAATGTCTTATTGACTTTGAAGAACATATATTATATTAATTATTGGCTATGCTCAAAAAAATAGAAAATAATTATTTTATCCATCAACAATTACGTTTAAGTTCAATAATTTCACTGATATTTAAAAAGTAATCAATCACACAAAAATGTTGTATAATAGAAAAAAAATAAAATTTTTAACGTTGAAAGATTCCATTGAGTATGATCAAAATTTCAGATATTTATTACGATCATTCGTTTGACTATGAACGAAATTTTTTCCAATTAAAGATATTTTTTTAATGTTTATATGATAATAATATTAAAAATAGTTGTCAAACTTTCCTCATCATTGTTTTATAAATTTTTTAATAACTTTTTTTTTATAATTGTACAGAATTCCATAATGCATGTATTTTTGCTCATGATATCTTTTTTTCAATAAAATAATATATTATGAATATATTCAAAATATTTGACACACATAAATACATTTTTTTTAAAATTTTTTTAAGAACAAATTGATGTATTTCAAAAATATATTTGATGTTCGTATTAACAATGATTATATATTTCTTATATTATATATTTATGATTAGAAATATCCAATAAACACTCTAATTTACGATTTTTTTGTTAATGATAATTACACAATAAATTTTTTTATTCAATACATTTATTTTAACACAATATATCATATTTTTAATGAAATACCAATTAAAAAAATTTATTAAATTATTTTGTGCCTATAAGTTATTAAGAAGTTTTATTTTACACAACAAATTGACAAAATATTGTTTTTACATCATTAACACTTGAATATTGGAAAAATGTTGCTACAACTTATAGAAAGACTATATTATCATTGATGCATATAAATCTTTTTAGTTATTATTTAGGTTTTGTCATGTTAAAATAATTATTAAGTATGTGAAACATAAGTACTAAAATATATGTATTCATGTGTTTTTTGTTTTGTAATTGCATCTTCAATTTTTGAGTTGTTTGATAAGATATTTCACTTGTTTACTATAGTCATTGATATATATAATTTTTATTTAAAAAATATTGACAATTATAATAAATCTATAATAAGGTGAATAACAACAAAATATATAAAACATATTTCTTGAGTGATACAAATAACAGCTAGCACAACATGCAATAAAATTAAAGAATTGCACTAGCAACAAAAACAATATTGTGATGAATTTATTATTCATTTGAGATAAAGCCACTTCATTGCATGTGCATATGTCAATCATAAATATGAAATCCTAACCATGCAAATATTTTAGCAATCAACGTGCGTTTGAGACAATGTTTTTCATGATACAATGGTTGGACCGTTATATTATGTTAAATTGTAAATATTGCTAATTACTAAATTTTGTCACCATCAATGTTTGTTGATATTTTATTGAGAAGATAGAACAATTATTTGTATTTTTGTTCAAAAAGTGTTCAAAATTATAAATTATTTTTTATTTTTGTTTCATCACAACAAGTATGATACTTTTGAGATTACATATTATTTTGAGTGTCAACAGCAACAATAGTTTAAATATTTTTTGTTGCAAAATAAAATAAAATATTTGACATTTTTTTCACGTTGCAAATTCTTTTGTGAGATGAAAATTTATAATTATTTGATTGAATTTTTTTTCTTCTTATTTATTTTACACAGCACAATGAAAAAAAATTTATTTTTGCATTATATGTTATTTTTGCACCTTATTTATAATTGATATTATTGCATTTGGATTCAATTTATTTGATCAGATATACAATACTTTGTACATGTGAATTTGTTTTTCAAACAAACATTTCAATACAACAATAATAGAAATAATTATGAAAATTTAAATTTGCAATAATTTCAATATAAAAATAATAAAACTAAATTTTCAAATTTAAATTTTCAATAATTTCAATATAACAGTAATTGTTCAACATTTTTGAACAATAAAAACAAAAATTAGAAGTTTCAAATTCTATATAATAAGACAATTATGAGCGTAAATTTGTTTTATGATTGGATTGATTGTTATCATTATGATAAATAAAAAGTTATTTCATAAAATCTGTAATTGATTCATATGGATTAAATATTAAAAAAATAAAATATATCTACATATATAACAATGCAATATGATTATCATAAAAAACCTGATAATGTTCTCATAACATATATTGCAGGTGACGAGAAGATTCAATAAAACCAAACTACAGATTATAGATTAAAACTAGGTTAGAACTCTAATAACTTACACATTCAAGTGTATTATGTGAATATTACTATACTTGTCTAACATATAGTAAAA